ATAAAGATGAAATTATGGGTAAAATTGAGCGGTAATAAAAATATTTTCCAAAATTATTTTGTCCTGTTTTTCTCTTACCTTACCTTGCCTTTCTTTTTATTTTTTTATTATTCTTAGAGATTAGACAAAGCCACCAAATTTCATCTATCAGGTAAGATGCTTTAATCACTGATGCAATCCCAGTGTTTGATTTTAAAAATGAAATGATGGGTTAAATTATGAAATCTAAAATACTAATGTCTGTAAAAAATGTAGCCAAGATTTAAAGGTTAGTGGGATGAAGAGCTGTGCCACACTGGAGAGTCAGTCAGACCAGTCAGACTTGTGTGAAATCTTTGAAAGCAGCAACTTTTTGTCAGTTGAGTTTTAATTATTTGACTACTTCAACAAGAATCATGCAGCTAAGGAACCTATTAGTAAAGTGTCTTTATTCCGATATGTATTGCACTCTACTGATATAGGTTTTAACTCTTGCAACAACCTATGACCAAAATGTACCAAATTTACTTTTGATAAACAGGGCGCAGCACTGGTAAGAGTGATTTGGAGAACAAAAAAAAAAGGAACAATAAAGCGCACTGACTACACCCTGGCTACCTTACATGTTGCTCTCCATTGTTTACTTTCTTAATTTCTGTTGTACTGGTGACATCAAAGCTAACCCAGTGCGACGGTGTCACCAGACATGCAGCGGTGGGGGAAAGAGGTTCTAGTCTTTACAGTCTAGGTGAAAACTAATTTGTAAATTGATGGGTTACGTTTTTGGAGAACAGAAACGTTCTTTTACGCTGATTTTTTAAATTATTTTATTTTTTTTTTTTTCCTGGGAAGGATTTATTAGAAGTCAGATTTGCGGTAGATGGCAGAGATGGGTAAGTTCACATTAGAATCAATATGGTCCAGTGCTTGGTACCTGGGCATTGGTTTTGGTACTCAGCAGTCGTATTCAGTGCCTATTTTTTGTAGCGTATAAAATGGGGGTTCACCCGTTTATTGGCAGGCCGATCAGTCGGTCATCAGCTGATACCTAGATGTGAAACTCATCTTTTTGACCAATCTGGTCTAACTCTGGTAAGGTTTGAAAACCATCTACAGTCAAGTTTTTAGTGTTTCACAGGCAATAAAATTTTTTTCCAGTAACATAAGATTGAAATATATTCTGTCCTGTGGTCTTATAACAACCGAGAGTCTCTGTTATGAAAAGAAAGTCTGTATAGGTCAAAATCGGAATCGACATGTCAGACTTTTTTATAGATCTGGAAACGGTGATTGACCATAAACATTTAATTTGTGTACCCCAAATGTAAATGGCATCTAAAATAGTAGAATAATTTACCTGAAGTTGGGGAAATTGATGACACCTCATGTTGCTGCCTGCAGATGAGTCGCTAACAGATGCTAATGGAGCAGAATGCAGTAGTTGTAGCCATGGCCATTGAAATTGTTCTCCCTTTAGCCTTGGAAAAAAAAAAATCTTGTCCATAACCAGATTTTTCTCAGATTTGAAATATTCCTGCTGTTGGGCTTTTACTTAACCTCACAATTATTCCATTGAGTGTAATCTGCATCTCATGTTAGAAAGTAGCGCTTTCTTTCAGCCCATCTTGCTTTGTTTATTGTAGCAGCGGCTTCATCACACTCTGTGTGCAATGCTGTGTTCGTGTCCAACATTGAAAATCAAGCACTTTACAACTCTCTCGGTTTCAAAAAGTGCTTAGGTGCCAAAACATGCTACTGTTTGATTTAACAAAAAAAAGGTACTTGCTTGTACAGATAGAATTCCAATCTGTTTAAAATCCCAAAATCAGATGCAGGATGGTCCGACTCTTAAATAGCTGCCTCTGTAGTCACCCTTTAAGAGCTATCCAAAAGACAAGGGTCTTTTGGATAGCTCCTTGGTACTGACAGAAGGTGGCACACTGGTCTGTTTGCCGATTGTTTTTAGTGTTGTTTTTTGGTCAGAACAGAATAACAACCATATGTAGCTTTACATAGAATCTCAGTTCAGTCTCTTTCAGGAGGGAATGCTTGATCATCATCATTGCTTTGCACAAATCTGCGTTAGCCATCTTACTGTATGAGCCACTGCCTTGCTACCTAGCAGCCAATTGGTGTGTTGAAATAATTTAGCTCAAGTTTCAGAATGAATCAATAAATAGAACCATTAATATATGAGATGCAGCTTTCAGGGTAGAATAGTATGAACTGTAAAGGACTTTAGATGGTCTGGCTGCTTATCCCTGACATATTTGCCAATTCTATTGCTCCTTTTTTCTGCAAGTATAATTTGTCCAACATTGCTTTAAAAAACCTTTGCCTATTTTTGTATATCTATATGTATTGATCAAAAGAAGTTGTAGAAATAATAAAGTTGTATAAAAAGCCCTTACAAGACAACGTGAAGCTAAATACTGGGGTGTTGAGAATTTTATTTTTTTGTTTTATTTTAAAGCATAATTTATAAGTTTTAAATTCGGCTCATTGTTAAATTTTTAAAGTATAAGTATGGTAATTTTCATTTCTCTTATTTTTCTGAAACTGCAAATTTGAGCTCCCTTGACATTTGACCATGTGCTAATATTTTCTATTTTTGCATGAATTTATATGCTTCCTTTTTCACTTTGCTGCTGTGAATACTGGATATCTCTATTCTGTTTGGCCCTTCGGCATAAATGAAGTTAATTCAACCAAAAAAATAAACCCAACATTTTAATGCTTTACATTTGATGCATAGTATCATGTCACACATTGCATACTTGTCCAGATGTGACATTAAAAACAGACATTGACTTAACTTTTAAGTGGTATTTGAAAGGAAAATTGAATCAAATATCATGATGATCTTCTTCTTTTGTTTCAGAGAGAGGTTTTCAGCAGTGGTGCGCCATACCGCTTACCTCCAAGATAGAAGGTGCACAGCGAATGAGAGTCTGTGTGTTTTGGTTTCCCTCTCTGCTGCAGCCAGATAATTCCAGAACCTGCGACTGGGCTGTAGCAGTTGGTTTAATCAACAGCAAGTAAGCCATGCTTCGATTTCTGAAAATAAGACCACCTGGCGTCATCTCAAGGTGCTGAACTCCTGTTCTTTTTTTGTAGGAAAAGTGGAAGGCTTCATTTGAATAACCTACACAAGATACAAGTGGTTGAAAAAATCCTTTTGAACCTGGAAGTTGGAAGTGTAAGTCTGATCATCGCCTATCTGCTCAATAAAAGACTGGACATTTTTCTTTTTTCAGTCCTTCTAAATTTATTCTGTCTGACATAATAATATTCTGTCTGACATGATAATATCCAGGTTTTGACAGGCAAAACCTGGATATTATCATGAGTTCCTGTAAAAGATTAACACGGTTAAAGGAGGAGTTTTATTTATTAGCCAATTAACATTATGTTTTAGTAGAAAACGAAGAGGGCAGGATATCTTGTATATATTTATTCTGAAATGGGAAACAAAATAATTAGTAAACATTTATTTCTGTGGATTTTCTCTAATTTTTTTTTTTCTTTTATGTAGTGGGACAAAGATTTTACCAAAAAGATTTTCGCCATTTGTAACGAGTTGTCTTTGGTAAGTTGATAAACTCTTTCCACATTTTAAAATTATTAAAAACTAGAAAAGCCCTGCACTCTGTTAAGTTTTGACCCATACTGTGATTTTCACCTATAGTGAAAACTCACACATGATCGGGATCATTACCAAATTTTAATAAATTGTTCCTTAGTGTTAGACATACCTCTGGTAAAGATTTTCTTTAGATATGTTCATAATTTTCAGGTTAGCAATGCAATCAACAAACAAACTAACCAATATGCTTCTGCATGGCTGCCCTGACAGATGCACAGCGATGCAGCCTCTGGTGTCTGTTCTGCTCTATCCTTCATTTACTCTGCACTTGGTTTGACTTCAAGCCAGGAATTTCTTACTTTTCTGGTGTTTTTGTATTTTTTCTTCAGCAAAACTTCCAGACCTTTTTGAGTTCAATGTTCAAGCTTTCAATAGCCAAATGCATTTTTGAAGCATTTATGAAACTGCATCATTGGCTTTTAACTAGTTTTCAAAGATCTTGGTTATCATACTTACTAATTTCCTCTTGGAGCAGGGTTACATAGTATCTGCTAATTTTCTCTGTTTATAGTGCTTTCCTTCAACTCTTACACAGATTGTGAAATTCTTCACTTCTGTATCAGCGTGACCACACCTCTGACAGGTGTGGCGCAAGTATTTTAACTCCGTTGACTTCATCATTACAGACGAGCTATTCTTTGTGTCATTTGCTCTGTGGGGATGTGCCCTTAAAATGTTTTGACAGTATCAGACTACAGATTAAGGAGTTCAAGCTGAGCTTGGCAATGCATATTCCTCACCAGAGAGGGTAAAGGTGAAAAAATTATGTGCATCTCGCTCATAACTTTTGTCTTTTTAAGAACTTCTCATGCTGTGCTTCTGACAGGTAATGTGTACTTTTAGAGGCGATTGTCTTAGCATGTGAATGAAAATATTTTCCTCTAATTGACTTGAAACAAACTTCAACTTTCTTATGAAAGCTTTTCTCAGGCATAGGGGAGTTTCTTTTGCAGACGAACAGCAACAAGACAGAAAATAGTTGCTAGATCTTTTTCCCGCTATTTAGTTATTTTTATTTTTGAAAAAAGGGAAAAAAAAGTTTTTTTTTATTGTCATTACATTGTAACAAGTACAGAGCAATGAAATGAACTCTCTGCATTTAACCCATCCCCTTGGGGAGCAGTAGGCTGTCATTGTGCGGCGCCTGGAGAGCATTGTGGGGGTTAAGGGTCTTGCTCAGGGGCTTGAACTCAGAACCTCAGGATTCCAAGCACAATGCCCTAACCCAGGGGTTTCAAACTGGTTCCAGAAAGGGTCGTGTGGCTGCAGGTCTTCTTTCCAACCAAGCAATAGCACACCAGACTCCAGTCATCTAATCAAGTCATCATGTTCAGATTGCACTCACTTGATGAGATGACTGGAGTCTAGTGTGCTATTGCTTGGTTGGAAAGACCTGCAGCCACACGGCCCTTTCTGGAACCAGTTTAACACCTGTGCCCTAACCACTAGGCCGCTACTCCCCAAAGCAGGAATTAGACGGAAGGGTCTTGCCTAAGGACCCACACTGGCAGCTCATTACCCCCAGCTGAGATACGATATAGGTGACTTACCACTTGAACTAGCCGAGGGGTCTTAAAGTTATATCGCCCTTATGTACAGGCCTGCAACAGTAGAAATGTAATACAATGCATCTTTGAAACCAAAATCAAAGTGAGCAAAAAAATATATATATATATATTGAAATAGGATGACGTAAGGATTGCTCTTATGAGTTTTGTGGGTAGCTGCTCCAATATCCACAGTGGCGCACGGCCAGCCGTCTCAATGCTGGGTTCTTGCTCTGATCTCCTGCTGCTCTGAGCTCCAGAACACCTCACCTTACCTCTGTTGTCTGAACAATTCTTACCTGAATCAGGGTAATTCTGGAAGCGTATCTGAAAGATTTGGTGGACCCACGGACACTAAAGTTAAAAGCTCCTTTTTGATTACACAGTAAAGCAACAGCAGGGGAACTTATCACTCATCGTGCAAATTGGTAGTGATATGACCACTAGGCCAACAACAGCAGTGGAATATGGCAACTTTGTGGAATCACCTTCGGTCACGTTCTTCAAGCTTTCATGTTTGCTCTTACAATGACTGTTAGATTGTATCAAACACTGCGTCATGTTCTCCGTGTCCCGTGAACATGGAGCAATGGATCTGATTGGATTATTAACTACAACACTTTGATTCAGTCTAAAGTTTATATTGACTAGAACGTCTAAATGTCTGTGTGTGAATTTGCCTTTTCTTGTCTAAAGATGTGTTGAGCAATATCAGTGAATTTTCTGCCACAGTGCGGTTCACCAGATGTCATGGAAGAAACAGTTCGCTGGTTGGAGAAGTCTGTGTATCGGATAGAACGGGAGCAGCTGCTCTGCCTCGGAGACATCCCAGGCTGTTATGCAACCTTCACCTTCATCTTCTCAGAGTGTAAGACAAAGGACTGTGTAGTATCAAATTTTTTTTTTTTTTTTTTTAAGATCGGTGATTCCTCAGTAAAAGGAGATATAAAAAGGTTCTCATGTTAATTTCAGGCTAGCAGGTTTTTAAAAATGAAATTGTCTAGAGCTGTTTTCAATGAAATTTCTTTTTGTATTCACTCATGTAAATACAAAATAAATCGAACTCTTATGTAAAAAGACAGAGTGATCATTTTAGTAGCCTAGTAAACTAGCCCCACCTGCCAGCGACCAAAATCTTTTTTGCCTGCAAGTGGGTCTAGCCCCGATCAATGCCCCAGACCCTAGAACTGGCGGACCAGTCACAACGCAGAGATGTGTTTTGAATTTCTGGTTGCAAAGTGGGTAGGGTTTTGAGGGCATGGTGACAAAGCTGTGCAGCGCTGGAGAAAACACAAGGAAGATGGTATCAACTATTGAACAGGTCTTGTTTGACTCCGCTTTATCAGTTTTTGAAGGATTAGACTTTTCGTTGAAATGTGAGCAGGAAGAGGCTCTACGCTCATTCATTTTTAAGAAGGACGTATTTGCCTCCACCAGCTTTCTGTCGCACTTACTACGTCACAGTCAGTTGCGCTCATTGGTCAGAGCGTTGGTCAATAGGCACAGACATGGTTTGAAAAATAACGGGTTGTTCTCATCAACAATCTTCCAATGTCTCATTAATCAGGGCCTGACTAATTAAACAAATCAAAACAAAGGATAAATGAAACATGGCTGCATTTGAGCCTCATTTAAACTGATGATGTTGCTGTGAATCATGATGTAGTTAACTTAAATTCAGTTTATTTATATAGCGCCAATTCACAACACATGTCATCTCAAGGCACTTTACAGTTCACTAGATCATACAGTCTAATTGATTCAAAGTTTTCTATCTAAGGAAAGCCAGTTGATTGCATCGACTCATTGACTTGAACACAATCCCTAAGAGTACATATTTAACCTTAATTTCTCATCACAGCTGATTTCTGCACACAACTTAATAGATTACATAAGTGGTAAATGGAATGCACTTTATAGCGCCTTTTCAGGTCAGGAGACCCCAAAGTGCTTTTCAGCCCATTCACTGACGGTGGTAGGCTAGGTTGTATCCACAGTTATCCTGAGGTACACTGGAAGCAGCCAGGCCTACAGCGCTATCCGTCTACTGTTGGATTGCAATAGACGTGAAGTGTCTTTCCAAAGAACCCAGTCAATAAGAGGTACTGTTATTTGAACCAGCAACCCTCCGCTTGCAGGATAACCTCTAGTAGGTTATAGTCAGTTGAAAGAAGCACAACTATGTGATGCAAGAACACAAAGTTTCTCCACATACGGTGGCTAATAAGAGGTTGACAGCAGCATTAGAGAAACTGGAGAACTTTGTTAGTTTTGTACATTTTTCTTACAATGAAGACAATCCAATCTTTGATATATTTAGTAAAAAACATATTTAGTCCCTCCAGAGTATCTATAGGGAAGGTTTATCTAATGACACCAAGGCTGACCTTCTCAACCATGGTTTCACACAGAATGCCCACAGTGCATTACCGAAACATCATAAATGCAAAATAAAAATAGTTGGCTTTCTGCTTTGGCTTTTTTTTTCTCCTTAAGATGGAACATGAACCTTCGTAGAGCAGAGGGAAATGAGGAGGAAACTTTAAAATCAAGAAAACAATGGCTTTGGGAGGGGACTTGAACCAGATTTAAAATGTCAGACAATTTAATACGGTTTGTGTAAACAAAAGTGTGTCCTGTCAAGTCTAACACCTAAAACACTATAAAACAAGGAAAGAAAGGCACAGAGTCAGAATTCTTTTTACCTGTGAGGAGAGTAGGAGGAGACCGTGCAGGTACATCTCCACCCCACTCTGCCGGTCTTCAGCTTTCTCCTCGCTAAAGTCAGAGGGGGGGGTCTCTAGTTACACAAGCTGAGGTTGCGCTAAAGGCATAGGAAACAAGAAATACAATTCAATTTGCAGCCTCAGTGAACAGGTCAAATTGCATTTAAATATCTTGCGGTCAAATAGTCCGAGAATCTCCTGGTTTCGTTAAGCTTGAGCAATACTTCCGAGAGTTGACCTATACTGCTTCTGCAACACCTCTCTGGAACAGTAATATGTCACACGTTATACATCATAAGAACAAACATTAAGTATCTTATACATAATTATTCCAACACCTTCCAATCTGATAGCTTTCGAGGGACTTTGCAAATAACGGGGCATGGCTTGTTCTTATATTTTTACATTAGAAACATAATTACCTTTATTTATAAAATATGAACTCTACAGTCTGTTTGATCAATTGTTTCTCTTTTGATAAACAATTGCTTTTTTTGTTCAGATTGTAAGTTTATCCTGGAAATGAGCAAAAACTTGGACTCGACGATGAAGGCCCTGAGGTCGCCGCCAGAAGATGCTGCTTTAGAGGTAACTGCAGTAAACACTGAAGGGACAGGCTTTAAATGTTGCTACATTTTTCTTTTTATGTATTGGACAGTTTTGGCAAAAATCTAAATTGCATTTTCTTTTCTCCAACCAATATGGCTATTATGTTTTTTTTGATTGAGGTAACATAAAGTTGATCTTATTGATTGAATAATTGTTAACTGATAAGCAGCCAATTTCTCTCAAAAACCTGCAGATCCCCAAACATTTTTATAACTTTTGTGATTATACATCGACTCGCAACTAATTGAATGAAATACGGTAAAAAAAATTAGGTTAAACGTTTCTTATTTTCAACATCGTCATGTGACATTTCTTCGCCACAATTGGATTCATTACCTCGGTTTTATTTATCTTTAATGCAGCCAATGGAAACATCCAACTGCTGATAGGGATTTTATCTTGTAATTCCCTGGTCCTCTGGGAAAATGCTTTGTTCCATCAGGCAAAACAATATAGCTTTTGTCCACTGGGTGGAGCCAAACTGATCAAAACCACACTGCATTAGACAAACTGTATAATTAGATTAAACCATTTCTTTTCAGTTTTTTTATTTTTATTTTATTGTGAAAGCAGGAGAGCTGCTCTGGTCTAGTAGTAACTGACTTATACATATAGTGGATATCTCTTGATACCATTGCTTCAATGTTTCTTTGCTGAAATGATCATAGATGTTTCTGCTGTATGTTTGTTTGTAATTTATTTCCAGAAAAGTGAGGCAATGAAAAAGCTGGGAAATGACAAGTTCCAGGAACAGCAGTATGGAGAAGCGCTAAAGTATTATACCAAAGCCATCAAAGTTTAGTAAGTACATTTCTGAAATGGCTCTTTCCACATCAACCAGTCAGGTAAAAGAACATATGTGAGACAAAACAAATCCTGGAAATAAGAAGATAAAGAAGTGATTTATTAAAAATGAGGAATCAGTCCTCTTTATTGGCCTAAAAAAAAAAAACTTATCTTGGTATCTAATGTGGTGTCGTTTTCTTCTCCTCAGTCCTGACAACCACATTCTTTATGGAAACAGAGCCCTGTGTTACATCAAGCAGAGGGAATATCTGTAAGTACAATGGTTTCAAGAACCACTGTAGGAAAGTAAAGCATTTGAATGGAAGATGAATAACCTATGTGAATAAACTATTAAAGTCGTAGGGGAATCGTATTAAAATTTCAAATCATTCTGGCTTAAACATGTATATAAATGTATTTGTAAAAAGAATCCTGTCTTAAAATCTATCTTTTAGTTTTTTTTTCCCGTCATCTTATGCACTTGGTTAAATTTTGTAAAAAATATTCTTTAAAGTCATGGAGATGTCTTATTTAAATGTCCATTCATTCTGGCTTAAATGTGTATATAAATGTACTCTTTATCAGACTATATTGTCCCAAAATTTAGAACATTTGTGTGGTTTTTTTTTAGTTATATTATGCAGGCTAGTTAGTTATACGTCAGCCTGTATTCGGCCAATCATATATCAACTAGGGGTGGGTATTGGCAAAGAAGTCATGATTATATTCGAATCACGATTCACATGCCACGATGCGATTCTACCACGATGCATCA